GTATTCTTCGGCGTTCCGTGGATAGCTAATCCGGATTTCGCGCGGCGATTGGAGCTGGGCAAGTCGTTGAATGGCAAGGTGAACTTCGCCACGTTGTACGGTACCGGAGGCGACATGGAGGCGCAGAGGAAGGGTTACACGGACTATCCAACCGCAAACTAGGAGCTATAACGTCGTGATTGCAATACAAAACGCAAATGTATCTGTATAACGTCCGGTCAAGTATGAACCAAATCCACACCCTCCACACCCGTGTCAACTTGGGCGTAGTAAATCTCTGTTTCACTGAGGAGCACTACACGCCCTTGACCTGCGAAAGCGAAATTCGAGGATCCTTTCCCAAGATAGAATTTGCCCAATAACTTGCCCTCGGAGTTCCATACTTGAACGCCGTCTCCACAACCACCCCATACGTTGCCTTGAGTGTCTACGGCAACGCCGTCCGCAGCACCGGTGTCAACATAGGCGAATACACGGCGGTTAGTTATCGCGAGTGTGTTGGATTGTACGTCATATGCATAACTGGAGGGAATATGTTAGGAAGAGTTGGGCTTGAGGGGCTTCACGGCTTACATGGTAGCAGGATACGTATAATTGTTGGGGAACAGTCCTCCAAGACGCCAGTGTCCGCACTACAGAACGTGAGTGTTATATCCCAAGACTCTGGGGAAAGTGACAAACATATAAAGAGTTGAATAGTCGGCGTTGAATGCTATTCCGTTTGGCTTCATCACGTCATCGGCCGCAACGCGCACTAATCCGGTATCTGGGTTGAAGCGATAGACCTGGTTCGGGAGTAGCGGCTCGGGTTTGAAGTACTGATAGAATCCATAGCTATAAACACCTTGTCAGATATTGGAGTGCATGCACTGGAGGTACTACTCACGCAACGTCGGTAAAGAAGATTTCGCCACTAGGATGCACCTTGACGTCGTTCAGAGAGTTGAACTGACGGCCAAAGAAGTTGTCGAGCAGGACGGTGACGTTGTACGGCGGGTACGGATTGATGGCGACCATGTTCGCAGGCAGCTCTCCCCGGCCTTGGTTCATGATGAGGAGGTTGCCCTTGTACGGGCCTGTGCCGCCGTTTGTCATCTGGACCGCGTCGTCCAATTCCAACTGCTAGAGATGAATATACGCGAATCGCGACAGAGAACGCGAAGCTTACAGAAGTAACTGTGACATTGATAGACCCCGTCCCATTACGAATCGCTGCCGCAACTTCCTGGAGAGAAATCTTGCCCATTTGGTTGTTTTGGTCGAGTCCGCTATGTCCCAAGTGCCCTGCAGCGTTGCTCGTGAAGAACACCTCGTCTGAGTCTGGGACCCATACTGGCGCTTCGTGGGCGAACGCAAAGTCAGGGTTACTCGCAATCAGTCGTAACGAGGGCTCGCTTCCAAGGATATTGAGGAAGTCGGGGTCAAATATTTGGAATATAGGCGCTGAGGAATTTGATGGGTCGAACATCATCGAAGAGTTCACGCGCCAGTCGTCGTATGAGGAGCCTAGGACAGCAAAGGATGAAGGCTGAATGTACTAAAAATATGCCTCAGCCGACTTTGCTTCATGAAATTGTTTACAACGTACCACGGACTGAGCTGGGAGAGACACATCTTGCGAAACCACACCAGCCACAAGGGAGAGGACAGCTACTGTCAAAGACATCAGAGTCAGAGAAAGAGGCGACATATGGTGGAAGCCATGGATCGCGCTTTATACCACACAGGGCCGGTTTTAAGCCTGGTCATGATGATGAAAGAGGCGGTTACATGGCTACCCTATATTGTTCCTCCCAGAGTGCGTGTTCCGGGGAAGGCCACGGGATCGCAACGGATGCAAATGGGGGACACTTGCGGGAGGGAAAACGTGCATCGACATCGGATTGGCCGCAATCAATTCCCGCGGCTCTCCAGAGATAGCGGTGGACGCGACAATGTACCCCATCACTGGGCTGGCTCAGAAATCTGGGGCGCGGGTGTGGAGAAGGAATTTGTCGAACGGCCACATACAATTCCGGTACGTGTCACCAGACGTTGGCGTATGGAGGATTATTACAGTATCGCTGTTAGGAATCTAGTTATGCTCGTCAAGACAAAACGCACTTCCCAAAAGGACCGCATTTACCTCTGGCAATGGCGGGCACGATTCTCCGTGCATGAATTCGTTCGCTGACGATTGTTCTCCCTCCGCCAACGTCATTTTGTCCCATGTCAATCAGGATATCGAGGGACGAGAGGCGAGAACAATGGATATGAATAGAACCATGCCTGACCGGTGGATTCCCAAATCCTGGTGTGGTGGACATGCTAGCAGTCGGAGTGGTGAAATGTTCCTTTCCCGAACGAGAGCAGGGGGAGCGTAATGCGTAGCTTCACATTCTGTTATAAGCATGCATTGTGGACAACAGGCTAGTAGTAGCATCGAAAAAGCAGGTCAGTCGACATAATAATGACACATCTATATAGATACCGTCTAGCAGAAGACGAAATGGCCGTAATCTGGAATACAGCTCTGCTTCCACGCAAGATATCTAGACCGCAGGGGAATCAGTCAAAAGCGTAGTCCCGGTGAGATTACGCACCCCAAGCTCCTTCAGTCCCAGGACCCCGTCCGGCCAAAAATGTCTTGAGCCGTGCCTTGCTCTCGACCTTCTCACTGACGTCCTCGATAGCTCCGTGCTGCTGGCCAGAAACAATCGACTTCCAAGTACCCCTAGCAGTAACGTAGACCGGGATTCGAGCACAGGTCATACGCGCAATAACATTCGGATGATATCGTCCGCAAGCTTGAGGATGCTCCCAAGGTTGGCGGGCAGGGTACGTGAATCGCAGACAAAAGGGTGATGGTTGGGGGAAGAAAGGCGCGGTTTCCACTTTAGGCTAGCACGAATTGGGCCGGTCTGGACTTGGCACCCGATCGTTTACTTACCATGACTTGAGCGCCATCTCAACACGACAGCATGTCCAAGCGATTCCTGGCATAGCCGAAAATGACCGCGTATGGTTAGTGAAATTGGTCTGGTGATTATTCAATTTGTTTACAACTTACTCTTCGAAGCCTTTTAGGCGAGCAAATGAGAAACCGTGTTCAATATAAGTACTCTGTCCGCCAAGTTCAACCTTGAACATTGTACCTCTGCGCATAACGAGAAACATGCACGTTCGTAGCGTCAGCCTGATGTTGTTTTCCCGGCTTAAAGCACCGGCACCACGCCCAAACACTGGGACTTCTTCAGCTGCCTAGCGTATCCCAGAAAAATCGGAAGAATGTCGTACTTACAGGCGGATATCAAAAGTATCCCAACGGGTTTCTCGCGCCCGGCCTTCAGTTATATTGCGACAGCCTGTGGAACTCCCATGGGACTATCAAAAAATCAAAGCTATACGTATACTCACTCGACGGTCGAGTCCAGGCCTTGTTCCTGGGTCAAGGATGTCGCAGGTGGAGTGGGATCATTGCAGTGATACGTAGAACAAGCACGTCAATCAATCCCATGAATCAAACCCTTCAATCAATTCTCCACACCACAGCACACCAATTGTCAGTACAGGATCGCGAGCATTAGGACCCGCGAGGTCGTGTGAGCGCAGTTACCTGGACGCTTGCGACTCGATCCCCGCATCCCAAGCTGAATGGCCATCGCAAATTCTATCGTTATCCAGAGTCGTGTGATCAAAATTAGATGGAATCCTTCTCGAACGATGCGTCATTGTTCGGCGATTCGGGACGTCCCCCGGGCGTTTGGCAGGCGCGAAAACGGAGAGAGCAATGCTTCGCGGGTGTCTGTTTGCCGAAACATCGATGTGATGAGGCAAAATATCAACTGGTTATCTCCGCCACGTCCATTGCACCCGGATGTGATTGTTAGAGTGATGCGATGACTGCTAGCGCTCGTCTACACGCTGGGTGGTGCAGCGAGGTACGGTTTCTAGTTTAAGTTATCGGCCCGCATACGACTCGGACTCGAAAGGCGGTCCGGAAGCAAGGCAGTAGAGATTTACCGCGAGGAACGGGAGCAGGGTTAGACTTGAGAGCCTTGGTGTATAAAATGAAAGGTCCACGATGAAGAGATGAATCTGATTACTTAACTTCCATGCAGACTATGAAGGCGGTTACTCTATTAGAGCTTTGATTAATAGCGCGTTTACCATTTACTTACCTGTGCCACAAGCCCCGAGACAGCATTCAGTAGTAAAAAACCCGATTACTAGCGTGGGCTTATGCGTTTGCCGTAAAGCCTTCATCAGAGGGTGCACCAATCGGAGACGCACGCCACCGCGAGAAAGAAACGCAGGACTAGACGAGGGGGCGACTCCTCTGGGGCTACTCGGAGGCAGACGAAGGACTTCGTGGGACGGTTACCATAGACAAGAGAGGACGTACACATTAATTCGCATTCGCGGAGGAAAGAAGCCATCCGATAGACATGGACAAAGATAGGCCAGTCTCGAGCCAAGAAAGTTGTACGGAATGTGCCGCAAGGGACAGCCCCAGTATGAACGCGAAGGCAGTACGAGTGACGGTACTCTAATAACACAGACACGTACAAAGTGTTCCAATGAATCTAGACTCCGGCGGCATAGTTCGAAGCCAATGAGATGCAAGCCTGATGCAAGCAGCCGTAACGACTCCCGCGTTGTGAGCGTTCAATCAGAAAGAAGCTCTGAGGCGTCGGCTGATAATTAAGAGTCCAAGCTCAGGTTTCGTTGTGCTTAAGCGCGTTCGACTAGGCAATCCCACGCACCATCAGAATCGCGATGCAGACATGTCAACAGTATGTAGGGTCGTTTGGCGTATTGGATGTCCGCTGATGAACGTCGGCTCCGAGTTGTGAGTAGGACCCGTGAAGCTCCCGAGTCGGATTGCCACAGGAGTTGGGAGGAATCGAATGTGGCGCAATGTGGCTTTGCGATCGTTGACAAGGAGAGAAGACGACGATGATGATCAGGGCTGGAACGGAACAACACGGACCAATCGGAATGTGCCAGGCAATCAAACATCTCTGATAGTATATCGGTTAGTACACGCGCCTGTCAGCTTTGCGGTTGTGCGCGCGAAAGCTGGGTTCGACTCCCAGTCAGAGAGTCAGTAGAATTTACGAATACCTTTTGGTTCGTGCCGTATTGTTGTGCTTGGCCTCACGTACACCTTTCTTACTCTGGCTTTGTAGAAACGCACGTAACCTTGCTTTGACCCGTTTCGTAGCCGACGACGCGTTGTTTGTTCGGTTGATTCATACATATGGAATACGCCGTAACTATATACAACTTACTGTAATGCCGACGGGGGTGCGTACATATGGGTCGCATACGTACGTGGAAAGTTGATCGCCGTCGAGCGGCGTCCATCGCAGAAGTAGAGGATGGCGTTGCTGGTGTGGTTGTGCGACTGGCGCTGAGTTGGAACCGGAAGAATAGACAGTCACGAGTGGAATTCAAGTGATTATGGCAAGGTGAGATGGCTATGTATAGAAGCTGGTTGTGCGCCTTACGTAGACGGGTGACAGATTTGGTAAGGCGGGGATCACAAGAGACGAACGGGGCCTTGATCGGGGGGTCTGAGTTGCCTGATTGGGATGCGAGCAGTGAGATCAGCTCGATGCAGCGGCGTCCAAGAACGAGCGGGTGGCTGGAGACGAGGACGGCGAGTGGGCGGCTGGGAGAGGTAGGGGGCGAGCACGGCGCACAGTCAATAGACCAGGCGACCAGGCGAGCGGTGGCTTTAATTTCCGTCCGGAGGACGGTCAATCAGACACGCGGAGTTGGCCGAAAAGCAAGCGGTCCTGGGGTGAATCAACATCGGAGTTTACACACGCCATTGCTCGAAGGGTTCTTTAGATAAACGTTCCAACGACCAACTATGCTTCCCCGCCAGGTCCTGCCACCCAACCATGCTCCTCTCCCTCCCGCAAGAGCTGGTCGAAAATGTTTTATTCCACTACGCCTGCGCCGACGACGATGGCAGAACGTGCTCGCTGCGGCCTCTCGAGCTCACATGCAGGGCCCTGCGTCGAGTGATCTTGCTCTCGAATGACCTCGCCGCTCGCGTTTTCCGTGCAAAATTTGCGACCAGCCGCCATGCGGGGATGGAGAGACTGACAGCGGCCGAGTGGAGATACCAGCTCGCCCTGTACGAGGGTGCGCTCGCATGCGTACAGAAACGCCCGGTCATCGACGGGAACAGTTCACACAGCCAGAATATGGCCGGGGAAACAATGTCCTTCGAGGAATTGCTGTGGAAGCTGTACGTGATGTGCCACGACGACGACGAGAGCGGCGCAAACAGACTCCAGCTCAACAGCGTCGGGACCTACGACTGGATCCAGGATCTGATACTGAATCGCCTCAACGACCACTCCGCCAACGGCTGGCCTGCAGACAACACCACCAACACCCTCTTGTTATGGATATTTTGGTTTCTGACCACAAAAGGTGCGCGATCGAGTGCTATAAATGTGTGGCATACTCATTATCCTCCAGAACGCATACACTTGGAACCACCCAACATCAGCGACGCCATCGTCAAGCTGATCCTCCCTTTTGTCGTCGGTCATTTTCGATACGCGACAGCCTGGGCGCCGCCAACCATTTCTACTCCCGCTCTCTTCCCAAGTTGTTCTCTCACGCCGTCGCTTGAACCAAATCCATTACCTTTCTGTGGACACACCCCACGGCTCCTTCCCAAAATACCGACAGAATCTCTCAAAGTGGAATCACGTCTTCTTCGGTCGCCGTATGAACCTGACGGAACCGCTCATTACCATCGCCGCCAAGTTGTGCTACTTTGTACGCAGAGAGTGTTTCGCTTACAGGATTCCCACGATCTTCCACCGACTCGCGCACAAGCAGGACCTAACGTCGGTCCAACACATGATGACATTCACGAACTCAATCGCCATCTCCTTGGCGACCAGCTGGACGAGGCGGTGGAACAAGAATCGGCTGTAGTTTCAGTCGCGCAGAGTGGGAGCGTCTCCGCAACTGCGGCGACCCGTGGCAAGGCGCTCCTCATACGAATATCTACACACCTGGAACGATGTCGGGTCTCTGGGTAGGGAGAATGAGTGTAGGTGCACCTGCTCCTCAACGACTTGTTTTTTAACAGTCCTTAGATTCCCGTTGAACCGCGCCTGGCTGAGATACTTTCTACGCCGGAATTGAATCCCGCCATGAGCGAGATGTTCCTCGGCATGATCACCGCACCGATGTACATGCGCATTGAAGAGCTCGTGTCTCGTTGTGGCGCGCCTGTCCTCCCATGCACGACACGCTCGGCACCAGTCATAGATACGGACGGCGACGAGGACGAGGATATGTCCGACTCGACATCGCTCTCCCCGAAGAGTCTGCCGAACTCAACCAAAGGCTGCGTTCCACATTTGACGACGGCATGTTCAACGCCTTTCTTCCCAATGGTTTCATGTTCCGCGACCGGCGTGACGGGTACACATCGACGCCCCCAGCCTCAAGGAGCCGTATACCTATCAGCGGCTTCCGGTCGCGCATGATTCCGAGACGTGCCTGGGGTGCGTCGCGCGTGAAGAAGAAACCACTAGGCGTATGATGGACGGTTCCCTCGAAAGTGACGGGGACGATCTCTGTCGTGAAGTGCTTCCGCCTTGCACAGGCGTTCAAGACGTCGTGCTGCGCGGAACCACGGACAGTCGCCATGCACAGGCCTGGAACGATTACACTTACTACGGGAGGGTACGACAGTGGGATGGCATGATCACACTGATGCGCATTGGAGGCCCAACGAGTTTGTTTTTGTATGGATATATTACCGGTGATGGACGAGGACTTGTAGGGAACTGGAGGATAGGCACCGGCGAAGTGGGGTTACCTTCGTACGAGGGTGCGTTTACGATGGGCCGCGTGGACGAGACGCCCGTAGCATGAAAACACGACTATACTCGGACGTGGTACGCATTATTGGACAGGTACATTCTACATGCCATTCATCTATCTATATTATTTATGCAGTACGGCGAGGGGAGGGGAATGTTTTGTAGTTCACTTGTACCACTATGCTCATTTATTTATCTATCTGCTTGTATCGCATCGCATCTTTGTACAGTAGCTATTTCTTGCTCGCAATAGAGTCTGCGTTCTTGTCGTGCCACGGGGCAGGCAGCGCGTGGGTTCATACAAATGGGCATGGGACATTGCGTCCGTACAGGTAGACGTAATAGAGGGTGGGTGGACGTGGGGGCAATTGCTCGAGCGCTCGAGACTCACCCAGCCTCCAGTCTCCCGGAGATGGAGACATTGCGAAGAAGGTTCAAGGGGAGCGACTGTGCGTGAAATCGTGGATCAGGACCCCAATAGTACTATGAAAGGTCGTCGTGCGCGTTCGGATAAAAACTGGCCAAAACTTGTCAAATTTCGTTCCGAGTTCGGACAAAAATCAGCCTGGAGTGGGGCATGGCGGCCCAGAAGGCCCGTAGGCGGAAAATTTTGACAAATCGTGGCCAGGCCGACCCAAAAATTGGGGACAAAAACTGCCTCTGAGACAAGGCAGGCCAGAAATTGGGACAAAAATCGAGCTTGAGAGCTGAAAATCGGTTTGGACATGAAGTGGGCAAATCAGGACGACATTTGGCGGCACTATAACTATTGGGGGTCCTCGTGGATCTTGATGACATGAAGGGGTTTGATAACGCGACTGATAACCATGACAGTCTAGATTTGTGAAGGCGAGCTTCTACCATGCATGAAGGACACTTTGTGTAAGGTGGCGGTGGAAGGCTTGGTGGCGACACTAATATGAATACGGTCAGCAAAGAATAAACTCAAGGGCGCGGTAATCTACCTCCGAGATTGAATGCTACCAGTTCCCATTCAGGTTTCAAACTCGCCGTGGCGTATAAATAGAGCCGCGACACTTGGGATGTCGCGAAGTCGTGTCATCTCGTTCTATCACCGTTCAATTCACGCCAAGAAGAAGATCCGCTTCTTGGTATCCGAGATATCTGAAGAGGCGATCCGCCTCCCGCCATCGAGACAATCGTGTCTTTGTGGATACGCTTCGCCATTCGACTTCTCCTCGTCATCGTGAGCCTAGTAAGGCATGTCTCTTCTGTTCATACTCAGTAGAACGCACAAGGTATAAACGATTTCTCAGGTCGAGGCCAACTTTCCTGGACTGACCTAAAAGAGCTGCAATTAAATAAGTGAACATGAAACGGTGGTCCCACCGAATGATGAAGGAAAGATCCACCCACCTGTTCTTGCTAGGTTTAGCGACTTGGGGGCCAGTAAAGTTCGGCGTTTGCGTTGTTGCCCCATACTGCTAACAGGAGCGCGTGTTTCGTGGCACGTTGTCCACCTGGCAAAGTGATTGGCTAGAAAAGAAAGAGGGTGATGTACCATTGATAACAAGATCGAAGGTCTCGCTGTATCTATATCTGACCAAGTCAATGTATGCAGTGATCAAGTAACTGTAAGTCTTGACAGAGGTGGCTATAACATATACTTATGAGCGTTAAACCCCCGAATGGACGAACGAAAATCGTACCCGACGTCTGTAGATACGCCGTCCACTTTGAGCACTTCGTCGACTTCTATTCTCCGGGCTGCTGCCCCACCAGTGGTCGCTGCGTATGTTGGCGGTAGTATCGACGATCGCGTCCCAGTTAGGGTATAAGTGTGGCGGTCGCGTCGCATGGGTTGTGATACTCACCGTAGACGTAATTGTGTCGATTCCTCGGGAACGTGCGTGTCTTGAGACAGGCCGTGAAAGACGAGAGCTGGAAGGAGCCTGCTGGGCTGCCGCCCCACTGGTCGGTGCGCTTGTTGGCGGTACTATCCAAGAATTGAGAGAGTAAGTAGCCGTTGGCGCCATGAGCTAAATCGGAGTCTGTTACACGCGAGTTTTGGGATAATAGCATACTTACCCTCAACGCCGCCGCCTTGGCATTTTCTGCGGCGCACGGCTCCATGCTGGAAGGAGCTGGCTGGGGTCGTCAATCGCAGTTGGGGTAACGTAACCTGGAGAGCCGGGGAGGAATCCGAACTTTCCACCTCTAGCGGCGATAGCACTTGGCGCGTAAACGGGCTACAGTTGGTATAAGTGTATTGCGCGCA